TATATATATTCGATTTGTATATAATGATTCTTGAAATATTTGAAATATGAAATTCGTGAGACGTGGAAATGATTATAAATTTAAGCAATAGTTTTTTATATCCTACATAAAGATTAGAAATAATATAAAACAACAGTACTTAATTCCAGTATGCTCTTAGTGACATAGTGCGTTGTTTCCGAAGGCGATATAGTTTGTAGTTTGTAGTTGTAGACTTAGTGAGATTCATTGGGTTATTACTTTTTAGCCATTTTTAATATGCATTTTAGAATTCTCAGTGAGATTTTGCCGTTGAGTTATTATGAGAACGTCATTCCGCGTTTGTGACAGTTTTTCAAAATCACGTCAAATCTGTAACGTTTCCTTGAATTTTACCAAAAGAGTAAAGTAGCAAAGCAGGCAACAAAAAAAAAGAGTTTACAAAACTTTTTTGCAGCGTATCTCTAGCCAAGCTTTTCATTTGCTGCCTTATAAATTAATAATTAATCAATTAAAATGTAGCTCAAATTGATTGAATTATCTGCACTCAATAATACGCATAATTTGCATAAAGTTTTGCATCAAATTTGGATCTTTTTTGAGTCTCCATTTATGTTCAATGTTAAATGTTGTTGGATTGAACCGGGACCTTGTACGCCAAAAAAAAGTTGAGCAATGCAAAAGCTCGTAAGGTCTCGTCAAAAGTTCAAATTTCTCGATTAAGGAATCGTTAAATGAAGGAATGGCACAATTTAATCTATACATCTTAACAAAAATTTTATTTGCGTTTCCTTTACTTAAATATGAGAAATTAACGTTATTTTAACAAGAGTTGGAAAGATAATAGATTCATATTCATTTATGTCCCATGATTCTTAAGCCCCCGCATGTTTTACAGTATAGAGATATAATTTTATTAATTCAATATTTTAAATAAATATTTCAGAGAAAAAAATAATTTTTTTTAATGATTTCAATTTGTAGCCGGTTTACCTGAACAAATTAAATAAAAGCGTGTGCCAGTAACAAATCTTTCAGAAAATAATTAGTTTACCTTTTAAAATACAGCATTTTCCCTGAAAATATTCATTTTTTTAAATACTAAATGGCTAATTTGTTACTCAAATAAATTCAATTATTTTGTTACTCAATTAATTTATTCACGTGAACAAAAAAGAGAATAAGTTACGACTCTGTTGCAACTCAGTTACGACTCAGTTTTTTCCTAATTATTATACTTAAATTGAATACAACATGCTTCTAATAATTGTCCCTTTAAAAAATCATAAAATAATTCGTTTTTA